AGAGAGAGAGAGAGAGAGAGAGAGAGAGAGAGAGAGAGAGAGAGAAAGAAAGAACATGGAATTAACCTGTACATTCAAGAAACATCTATGAGGCTCCTGCTACGAGCAAGGTGCTGTGGTAGGCTCTAGAAATACGAAAACAAAAGAAACAAAATTGGCCCCACCCTCAAAGAGTTTATGTTCTACTAGAATCATGGACACCCACATTTTCGGAGTTAGAGGAATCTCATCACAATCTAGTCCAATCAATGCCTCTACAGCATCCGGTTTCTGACTAAGATCTTCGGGGTGGGGTGGGGGGAGGGGCAGCCACCACCTCTCAAAGGAACCTTTTCCATGTTGGACAGATCTCATCATTAGGAAGCCCCCACCCTCACCCCCATCTCTTACCCCCCACCTCCCCACCCTCACCCCCACCTCTTATCCCCCACCTCCCCACCCTCACCCCCACCTCTTGACCCCCAATCCCCCACCCCACCCAGCATCGAGCTTAAATTCGGCTGTGTGACTTCCATCTACTGCCTCTGGTTCTGTCCTCTGGGATCTCACAGCACATCCATTCCGTCTCCCACGTGACAGCCGTTCAGCTACCTCCCTCGAGATGTATTTAGGACCAGCCAGATCTTCCATCTTTAGCTTTAAAATGTAGGCGTGGGAATTCAAACGGTAAAACTTCGTACAAGCGGTGAAAACGGCCTTCCTTCATGTCTTGCAGCCAGCAGCACCAGGGGTTTCAGGGGCTGGGTTTTTAGATAGCCTCCCAGCTGCTATTTATTAAGAGATGGCCCAGCGCTGTCATCATTAGCGATCTGGCTTTAACTCAGCAAAGGCACGGGAACCTCAGATTTTTAACCAGCCCTAATTACTTAGTGGGGAGACTCTGAGGAAGCCACTTAACCAACAGGAAGCCTCACTTTTCCTCGTCTGTAAAACGGGAATGGTGATAACTAGGACTTCACTCTTAGGCTTGTCGTAAAGACCAAATGAAGTAATATACTTACGACCCTTTGTAAACCTTGAATCATCGTATCAATACCACTTATTACTGGAAAAAAATCTCTCTGAAGCCCCACTGAGAGCCAATAACCGAATGCCATTCTGTTTGGTTTCTACTCTTTTTTTTGGCGAGGCAATTGGGGTTAAGTGACTTGCCCAGGGTCATACAGCTGTTAAGTATCAAGTGTCTGAGGCTCGATTTGAACTCAGGCCCTTCCTGACTACAGGGCCAGTGCTCTATCCACTACACCACCTAGCTGCCCCTGGTTGCTCCTCTTTATTTGGACTATGTTGACAGCGTGATAAGGTAGAAGGGGCACTGACTTGGAGCCAAAAGACCTGAGTTCAGATCCTGCCCATGATATTGACCACCTGTGTGACCTTGAGTATGTAATTTGATTTCTCCGGTCTCTTTTTTCTCATCTAGAAAATGAGAGAGTTGTACTAGATGGTCTGAGGTTTAGGTCAGGTTCTAAGATCCTATTTTGAATTTTAAATGCATTAAATTAAAGATAGAACAACTCTACCTTTGGAAAGAAAGTGATATTTGACAGCTATATAAAGCCCATCAGTTGGCATGCTTGAAACCTTTTTTTAAGTCAGTCAAATATAAAAGCCACCTGGTATGTCTTTAAGTAATATAATTATTGGGTTATTTAAAGCTCCCATGCCTAGTCAAGTTTGTTATGCAATGCCTGTTACATTATGTAAAAATTTTAACGCTTTTTTTTTCCTTTTTCCGTGAGCAACAATTCTTTTCTAAGTGTCAAATGTATTTCTTTTTAAAACACAAAGGTTGGAGGTTCCTTTTTTAAAACTATGATGAATGAATATTAGTTAACTTGAATATAGAAAAAAAAATTACCAAGCATAAGGTTAG